CATAAGCTTAAGAAACCTTACTTTAAAAGTAGGTAAATGGAAATACATACAGGTCAATTGATTTTAATTCAACAAAACAACAAGACACGGGTGGGATACTCTAATAGGAATGGAAAATTGCTGCCATGTCTTTTACATACATCACTCTATGCATGAGTTCTTTGAGGCTTCTAAAATTGGGCAGGGAGATGATGAGAAATGGCAAGTGGGTGGTAAAGCAGACAGGAACATATACAATTTTTGGAAACAAATATATAGTGTTGGTTTCCTGCATGCAATACGACCAGCAAGGTAAATTATTAAATAGCAGCAATAAAAAATAACAGGCTAGCATTGTATGAAATAATGAGGGCACTTCTCAGCAGTAGATTTCTCTCTTGCAAAATGATCAAACGGCAGCATCTTCTAAACATAATCCAAACTTTTTGAAGGAGTAGGTTAAAGAAGTACCATCTGCTCAATTGTATATGGAGACAAAGTTTTAAGATGTTCACATCTGTATGAATATTTATACTGCTGACAGTATCTACTCATATTTCTTGCTGCTTATCCATGAAGGTGACCGAACCAGTGCATTTTTTATTTCATTGTGCATGATCAAATGACATGTTTTTTTTTATACGAAGGGATTTTTTTTTCACCGAGCTATCTGTCAATGCATTGGTTATAATACAACTTCACAAAAGGAAACTTATCAAATGTACGTTTGAAAACTTGGGAACTCATGAGTACAGTAATGCCTCCATTAATGATGTAGATGCATTCTATGAAGTCACTTCGTGATCAAAAATTTCCTTACCAGAAGTACATACAACATGAGAGGCATAGGGATACATTCCAGGACTTTAGAGATGAGGAGGGGAACCAATAGGAAAGCATTGCTGCACAGTAGCCTTCACATTGTCTGCTTGGTTTAAAAATGATCGTTAAGGTGGACTGTGTAAACCCCGAACAAATATTGCAGTTCACTTTTCATCTCTTCCACCTTCCCTTATGATCTGCATTTTAGCTTCCCAATATATGATTTACGCAGCACTTCTTACCAGGTAAGGCAACTAGCACTAGATGGTCGTTTAGATGACAACGTGGGTAGTAAAATCACTTTATCACTGCACAAATACAGTAACATTTTACAAACATGAGGAACTCGAGCAATGGCGGGAGTTACTACTTCAGCACACCAGTGTGTTGAGAGTAAACCCTCAACATTTACAATTTGAGTACGATGATGTTTCGCTGGTGATTACAACCAGCTTCATCAGGCGATTTGCCAGAATTGTGGTTCGAAGACATGACAGTAGATAAAAAAAAACAAAGGACGGATCTTTGTTTTTGAGCCAAGCGCAGTGGCACACACCTATAATTATCTAGTACTTTGGAGGTGACGGTTGGTGGACCATACAAATTCGTGAAACTCGCAATCCTGCTGGACTACGAGGGAACCAGGAGATGGTAGTACAGTAAAACCTTGGATTGCGAGTAACTTGGTCTGCGAGTGTTTTGCAAGACGAGCAAACATTTTTAAATAAATATTAATTTGATAAACGAGCGAGGTCTTGCAATACGAGCAGTACGTGTATACGCTTTGTCTGCCGAGCGTCACGTGATCACAACTGATATACGAGTTCTTTGATATACGAGTGCTTTGGATTACAAACACGTTTCCGGAACGAATTATGCTCGCAATCCAAGGTTTTACTGTAAAGTGCAAGGATTCTTGAATACATCTGTGCAGAGCTTTGAGTTATCCTCTCATCAGAGTGGGTTATCTCCGGGTACTCTTTCAACATGCAAAATTCTTGCACGTGGAATGAGGAAAACATCTCAAATCAGGACCCTTAAAAAAAAGTCCTGACACTCGCTGAGGGATTTATATTGTTATTGTACCGTCATTATATATACAACGCACTGAAATGGTACATCTTCGCTTTAAATTTCGATTTAAAGCTTTCGTGACTGCAGGGATTCATATTCTTGGTTCTTTCGGTAAAGTCACGTAGAAGGGAAGTAATAAAATAATATTTTTTTTATTCTCACGACGTTTCGATTGCACCACAAGCAATCATCATCAGGTGTGAAAACCACAGCAAGAACATTTTAAAAAAAGTGGCATTTTTTTCTTAACTTTTTCCAAAAAATGTCTAGCTGTGGGTTTCACACCTGATGATGATTGCTTGTGTTGCAATCTAAACGTCGTGAGCATTTTATTCTTTTATTTTTATTCTTTTATTATTTCCCTTCTACGTGACTTTACCGAAAGAACCAAGAATATCTTCGTTTTAGGTGAAATTTGCATGACTTCCAGGAAGCTGTGACAATTCGGGACAAGAGCAACATACACTAGCACACAATGACATGGGGTACACATACAGTACACTATGCTGCTCTTAATAATGTAGAATAAATGTCCCACAGAAAGGTATTCTCAGAATATTACGAACTAAAAAAAATATCTTGCACAATAATGATCTACTCTGTATGCGAGAGTGCACACAAATTGCATGTGGCATTTCCCCAGCGAACCTATCAGAGTGCCTTTAATGTGAAGCGAATTTTGGTTTTATTGACTTCCTCCGCTGCTCATTAGCAAGACTGCTACATCATGCAGCTATTGTTCGATACAGCCATTTGCATTGCTGCCCACTATGCCGCTCTATAGCGAGTCTTCTTTAGTCACGATTGTTTTTTGCAGTACAATAAATGTTATGCTAAATCTATTCTTAAAATAAGATTCTTGTGGATGTTGCATTGAGCTACAATTTTTCATCTTGATAAAAAATTACAATTCAATAAGCAGAGTGTATGTCTCGCATAGCTTAATAACCATAATCGCCTATGTTCAACGTAAAACTGTGCATATCTTTTTTTATAATTGCTTGTACAGCCAATGCCAAATGTCTTTTATAAGGGCTTCCTAATTGTTTAGGCTTACACATTCTTATTTTGGTAATTGATTTTACCCTTTTATCTGGCAACAAAACTGACACCTTTTTTACAAGGAGTCATGTTTGCACTGACCACAATACCTGCGGTCGGAATTCAAACAAAAAACACCACTCTGATAATGATTGCACTGTCCTTGAAACGGATTGGTCCACACCTGAGACAGCTTTTCTTAGAGCCTAGTCTCACATGGTGTTGGACGAGATGACGCCAATAGGCGCACAACTCAAAGACAATGCACCATCAGAGTATGAGAGCTCGGGATAAGCATTTATTATCACATTTTGCTACTGGCAAAGGAGGTTCCAATGGTGTACATCCTTATTTTGTTCTCTCTCCATTGCTTTAGAAAGTTAGGAGTGCATGAATAGTCTACAGCCAGACACAATATTGTATATCGGCCAATCCATTATTTTGCTGACAAAGCAGCACTTAACACAGTTGTCTTTGAAGGCAATAACTAAAATTAGGTTTCATTTGAACTGTAGTAGAGTCTCTGTCCTCTGCTGAGCCAGGGTGTTTTTTTATCGTTAGCTGAATGAAAATTGCTTACAGCCACCTACTCAACAAAAAGTATTGGATAACAGTAAAACATGCCTGGCATTACACTGCTGTACATCACCCACCAGTTATTGGCGCACAAAAAAAAGTGACACAGATGTTGGTATAATGCTTTCTCGCGTCATCCTCCTGCATTAAAATGTATTTAACATCCCCAATAGCAATATAAATGGGATTCGTGGTCACATCCTACAGCAGGACCCTACCTCCAACCTCTGATGTGTTAAGGCATCTGAGTAGGGCAACGGTAAGGCAGAGACTGTCATGATAGTTGTCTGAAGAAGCCAGAAAAGTCTTTAGGCAATAGTTGGAATGTAAGAGAGTAGTAGCCCATGGCATTATTTTGTCCTGGACCCGGTTTTGAGTATGAATGGATTCTAATCCAAATAAATATACTGGATGAGCATGTACATGTTGGGAACTTTTGTTATGAACAAAAAAGATTACACATATAGTGAAACTATATGTGATTAAAATGAAGCTATCAATAACATCAACAGTTTGAGGTGTACCCTAGATGTGTATTCATGAAGTGCTGGGCAGCATTAGCCTCATTTCCATGAGCATCACATTTTTTGCGGTCTAATTCTAGTCTGCACCAGCATTATACATTGGCTGTGAAGTCCCTGTAGAATTATAACTCATCCAGAGCCACTGACAGTGGTCGCTTCCTGCTCCAAAGCCAGCTGATTATACAATCAGCCATAGCTCTGCTTTCATATCCACGTGACTTTGCCAACCCCGAAAGGGCATGAGAGGTCACGCAATTGTGCAGCACCTTCATTTTACACGAGTGCCACTGCATAAATCTAATGATCATGTTTTCCCAGCACATACACCATCAAAGGACATTACAATGCAGGTGTCATCATGAGGTTTCTGAGTGTATAATCTAACTTATTTTCATCACTTTACAGAAATAGGGACAAATAATCGTAGGTTTATTCGGTAAAGTCACGTAGGTAAAAAATTAAAATTAATAAAAGTAAAATAAAAATAAAATAAAAATCACGACGTTTCGGAGGCAACACAAGCTTCCGTCTTCAGGTGGAACCGTCACAGCACGATAGCTGTATCAAGTGAGAGAGATTCAAAGAAAACAGTCCTTGTATATATACTGGTTGAGGGTGGGAGGAGCCAAGGTAGGCCCTGAATATTATTTTTGTGAGGTTCGGTGCGGCTGAAGCACCCTGTTAGGAATGAGCCTTTGTTGTGTAAACTAGGTGCGGATGATGTAAAGGTACGTGAAATAGGGACAAGATTGGTCGAACTGTGGCAGCTTTTGGAAACTGGCAAGAATAGGAATAGGCTCAAAGTAGGGCCAAAAGCTGTGCAGCCAAGATTGGTCTTGTGAAACATATGCAAACCCATTAAATTTTCTTCTTTATTTTTGAACTCGCCTAGCAGTTAACTTTGTATCGATGCGACAGCTATCAGGTGTAGACCAGAGCCAGGCTGAGGCCGCTGGGCTGTGCCAGTGAATGCTGAGTTGTCACCTGCAGCAGTGTGCCCACGGAAGTGGCGTGTGCGCTTGCCCGTGCTCCACTCCCAGCACGCCAGCGTGTTATCGAAGGACGCCGTCACCAGCTTGTGCTCGTCAAACTTGACATCAGCGCATGTGTGCGTCTGGATGCCGTACACGCATTGCCCCGTCTTTACGTCCCACAGCTTGGCAGAAAGGTCGTCCGAGCCTGAAATGTAAATTCACAAAAAGAGAAACTAAACACAAAAAGCAAGAAATACTACCGACACTTTCGGTATTTGGGAGGATGTGTACCCGGTTCTTTTAACATCTGCACTGTTGTAAAATGTTTTTTTTTTCTTCACATATTGTCAATTTAATCTGGGACATTTTTTTGAAAGAGAGTTGGAGAAGGAGATTTGCACACACATTGCTGGATTTGGCCAGCATTGATACCACACAAATGGTAGAATATTCTTAGGTGTTTTCGGTAAAGTCACGTAGGTAAAACATCAAAATTAATACAATAATAAAATAAAATAAAGATCACGACGTTTCGGAGGCAACACAAGTCTCCGTCATCAGGTGGGACAGTCACAGCCAGATTAGCTGCATCAAGTGAGGTTGCCAACCCCTGCTCACTTGATGCAGCTAATCTGGCTGTGACTGTCCCACCTGATGACGGAGACTTGTGTTGCCTCCGAAACGTCGTGATCTTTATTTTATTTTATTATTTTATTAATTTTGATGTTTTACCTACGTGACTTTACCGAAAACACCTAAGAATATGATTCCTTGCAGTCACGAAAGCTTCAAGTCTAGAATTAAATGGTAGAATATTTAAAAACTCCTCATTTGTATGTGAAAAACTGTGAAATATTAGCATTTTTGTTCAAAATACCTTCATGTGATTAAATTATAGAAAATAACATAATTACTGAATGACTGCATTATTAAGTCAAGAAAACCAGTGGTAAACTTTAGAACAGAGGTTGGCCACAAAAATAATAACCACAGCTTTTATTTTCGAATTTGGTTAACAAATAAATATTTAAAGAGCCTCAATGCCTGTGAATACGAGACGGTCATTCATAGACAACGTCAAAAACTCGTCCTTAAAAAGCCGCATTCGGCTCCGGAGCCGGAGGTTGCCAACCCCTGCTCAAGAATGAATGTAGAAAATATGTAAAAGGACACTGCATATTAAGCAAGTTTTGCAATCAGGAATGCACAGGACTCCAAGATATGGTGCGCAAGTGCAGAAGCAACTGGCGGAGTCCCAAGCCAGGCATTTATTGAATGTGCCTCGTGAATTAGTGAATGTCATTCCCACAACCACAGCAGTACAATTCTTACTTAGAGCCCCATCGCTTTGACAGAGTGTGGCTTCCAGTAGGCAACATAAAAAAAGTATGTTCGACTAAAGTCACAAAATGCCATCTATAATTCTTGCGGGGTTAACAATGCACAGCAAACGAGACGCATGTTATCTGTAATTTACAGTGTTGTCAGCATTGAAAGACACAATTCCTCTTATATCACGTACAGTAATTTTATGATGCACAGCTGAAGAACATGAGAGACATATGCTGGCAACAATCGAATCCAGAAACACCCTTTACACTCTCAAACCTTCTCTGTACTGAAATGTGGTTTCGGTTATTCTATATATCTACATATTATATTATTTATTGCAAGTTTATAAATTCTTTTAAGCCAAATAATCAGTCAAACAATTTATTTCTAATTCTAGATTTGAAGCTTTCGTGACTGCAAGGATTCATACTCTTTGGTTTTTTTTGGTAAAGTCACGTAGGTAAAACAATAAATAAAATAAACACTAAATTTAGTTGTTTTCATTTATTTTATTTTATTTATTGTTTTACCTACGTGACTTTACCGTATAATTTATTTCTACTCAGAATCTAATTTAAAACATCGTAGAATTATATTTGTATTAAAATTAGAACATTATTTTAATAATTACTTACAGCTCTTTGTCAACAACTGCTGGATGAACATCTCTTCATACAATGGTCAGTCAAAGTTATGACCATACTTCACCACACTGGTCAGTGGGGTTAAGTGGAGAAAGATAGGCCCATAATCGGTTCATTTGCATAAGAATACTTCACCACACTGGTCAGTGGGGGTTAGTGGAGAAGGCCCACGATTGGTTCAGCTATTACTCGCCACTGATGTTTTTCAGCACGAGGATTCAAACTCAGGTGGTTAAAGAAAAAAAAAATATCCAGCTTTAAATCAGAATGTGAGGCAGAACTTCCCATATTTGTACCGCACCAGGTCTATTGAATCTCCCACACTTTTAAAAGACAAGAAAATAGAATTAAAAAATGTATGTAATTTTATGAAAAATCGCCAATGCCACTTTAAAGCACAGGCTATAAAGTATTCTTAGCTCGTCCTATCTTACTGCTGCCTATATATTTCGCCTCTGGGGAAAATATGGCAACCTGTCTCCACCAATCCCCTCGGTACACGAGGCCGCTTCTGCGTGCTTCAGGGACATGTTGATCTCATTGCAGCTCCTTGCCATCAAGTTTTTCCACATTCTCTTTTGCCTTCTCCTCCCGCCAGAATGATATCGTCTTCCACTCCATCACCAGCTTCAAAATACTGACACGGCCACACCCCGAATATTGGATTTAGCCAAGGCCCCTTGGTAAATAAACTGCATGTACCTATTCCCCCCGCCTCCCGGTGATTTTGATAACTTGGAAATATTTGGGATTACGATTTTATTCAATAAGTCTCCTTTTGTTATTGCTGAAACCATCTCATAGTTTCTCAGCTTTTTATTCTCACGTCTTTTTTTGTTGTTCACATTACTGTACGTGTAACAACATACGTTTTCAATGCAAGTCATGAGAAAAAAATTACTGTATATCAACGCCGTATCATGAGAACATAATATATTTATTGATGAATGAATACTGCACTCTGGTTAATAAGTGGTCACCGACACACTTCAGACATACATTAAAACACAATTCCAGTGCCCAGCACTCAGGGAACTTAGCAAATGCATAACATTATAATTATCTTAAGCATAGGAGCTCCCCTTCCAGGGATCGAGTCTCAACCCTGTGACCTCCCCATGGCCATCTTCCTCAGTGACTATGTAACCACCAGGCCTATTGCGGGAGAAGGGGGGTCACAAAAAGAGCAAGCTAACACCAACGTGTTACAAAAGGGGGTTCTGAAATTATCGAACTTTCTCAATCGAATATTGATTCATGTATTGTTTAAAACATTCTAGAACATACCTCAACGAGGGCCAATGCCACGTAACTAACAGACCCCCACCGTACCCCTCTTTTCTGAGGAAACACATTTTTGAGGGGATGGTAGTCGGGATGCGTAGCAAGTTGGTGAACAATTATGAAAATCAGATTTAAGTACTGAAATCTAATGTATTCACAGTGGTCACTGACATGTTCTGGAAATACATATTAGAACCAATACCAGAGCCTAGTCGGAGGCAGAAAAATTACAATTCTTCCCAACCCAGTGGCTTTATTGGGTTATCGAAGCGCAGAGGGCCGCTTTCCCAACGCTGCCTTCCTGGGACACAAAGATGTAGTGGCTGGTAAAAGTGTGAGGTGAACTTCACACTGCCGCCCCACAGATATCCTTCAAAATGACTCCTACCCTACTGGCCCATGACACTGACATGGCCTCATCTAATGCGATTTACACCTGCTTATAAGCTTCCAGGATGCATTCCCGCACCCAGGAGGCGACTCTCTGCCGTGACGCCGCCTCTCCTCTCTTCTGTTGAGTGTATAAGACAAAACACGTTCCTTCGAAGTGGGCAGGTAGGAACTTGGTTGGACAACGCATTTGTGCGATCCGTGTCACGCGGCACAAGCTGCGTGGAGCAGCGCGTCACGTGGTGCTGAGCCCGCCCGAAGCACTCTATGAAATACAAATCGAGGGCGTGGCTATGCACGACAGACAGACAGACAAATAATCCCTGGTGGGCAGTGTGGAACTGTTGCTCCTACCTGTATAACTGTCTACCCTCTTCCAAGCCTTGGATCTTTGCAAATCTATAGACCAGTACGCTTACCTGATGCAACCTGTGTCGCTGAGCTTTTGCCGTTGAATGAAAGAGAGGTGGAACGGAGGACAATTTCCGGGTTCACATGAAAATCAGAGAGCACCTTCAGCACGAAATGGGCCAATGCTCTCAACACGACCCTTCCCTTTGAAATGACTATGACAAGGCCTAATATTAGATTCAGTGACAACTGATAGTCATCCAGGCTTTCAAAAACTAAGGCCTTAATAAAAAAAAAATTGAGAATATACTACATAGCATATTATAAAATATCTATATCAGAAAATAGGAGAATAATAGAGAAAATGTAACCAAAACTGAACATTACACAAAAAGTACAGAGAGATGCATGCTGGGAATTATAATGAAAGAGGAACATATGGATCAGAGAACAAGCACCAAGGAGAAGCATCATATCAACTGTTCAGAAAAGTAATGAGATTGGGCAGGACATCGTGGCAAGTGAAGAGATGATGACTGATCCAAGTGACTAGTGATGGAATGGCAGCCAAAAGAGGTAACATGACCCAGAGAATTATAACTGTGGAGAAGGGAGTGATGAGATTAGCTTATGTGCAGGACCAAGATAGATTAAAACATCACATGGGAGGCCTTCATCCAGCAATAGATTCATCACGACTGTTGCTGATGACGATGCCAATTTAAAGTCGACAATGGGTGTTACTGGTGTAAAATTAAGCATCTGCTCACAGTATTGCTAATGCTGAGCGCATTACAATTTATCGAACATGCAAGTATGTTTCAGAGTACGTCTATATTTCGATTTAAAGCTTTCGTGACTGCAGGGATTCATCTTCTTGGTTCTTTCGGTAAAGTCACGTAGAAGGGAAGCAATAAAATAATAAAAATAAAACATAATAAAATAATTCTCACGACGTTTCGGCCACAACGCAAGCAGCCGTCCTCAGGTGAAGAAACAGGCCTGTCGAGAAGACAACGTCTGTATTCTCTACCTATCACAATTGACATGCATTATTTTAAATACAGCAGAATAAATTAATCATATTCGTTTGAAAGGCATCGGATTAAAATGTTCACTTCTTGTTCAAAAGTTCCTTCAATCTAAGAAGATATGTGCTTGCGCCCTTAAGATTGAGCCATGGTCTGTCAGGGTCAATAAAAGT